ATTTTCTGATTTCCCAATTTAATCTGCAACTCTTGTCATTCCAAATGCCAATCCTATGATCAATGAAATGAGCTACTTAACTTAGTGAGAAATGATTATTTATACAAAATTCAAGATTATTTTTTTACATTTACTGGTCAGAAGTGACATTTTTTGCCCTACAAGGTTCTATGCCTCCTCAGGTTTCTTTATTACAATTTTTAAAAATGAGCCTCTACCCAATCATCCTGCATAGCAAATCTGGTGAGAGTATGTTGGGGAGAGTATATCCATCTTTGCTTTCCTTGACCTCTCAGCAGCCTTTGATACCATTGATCATGGTATCTTTTGGGCTGGCTATGAGATTTGTGGCTGGGTGGCACAGTCTCAAAGCCAGTCCCAACTGGTGTTGATAGAGTAGAGAACAAGTTCATGGTCACTCCTTTATGGCATATTGCAAGGCTCAGTATTCTCTCCACTCCTTTTAATATCTGCATTAACTCACTGGATGAGATCATCTGCTACCATGGAATAAATTAGCATCAGTATGCTGATTATCTCAACTTTAAATCCCTGATGACCCAAGAAATGCTGTTGCTGCCCTCTCACAATGCCTGTGGGATTCTGGATGGGGGACAACAAGCTTTGGATGAACCTTTGTAAGATTGAACGGCTTTGAGCACATGGGGCTTTGAGATCTAGGAATTTAACACCTTTAGTTCTGGATGGAGTTGCATTGCTCCAAACAGGCCTGGTACATAACTTGGGGATTCTCCTGGGCTTGTGACTCTTGCTCAAAGAGCAGATAGCAGTCATAGCTAGGAAAACCTTTACACAACTTTGTGTCATGCTCCAGTTATTTTCTTTCCTGGAACAGGAATCCCTGTGCTCAGTCACCCAAGTCCTGGCCATCTGACCCCTAGAGTACTCGAATGTGCTTTATATGCGGCTACTCTTGAAGAGTATTGGGAAGCTACAACTGGCGCAGAATGCAGCTACATGGACAGTTCTTGGGGCCCCTAGAATGATCCACATTACACCACTATGGCATGAGCAGCACAGATTGTCAGTTTGCTTCCAGGCCCAATTGAAAGTTTTCATTACCTTTCCCTTCATGGCATGCGTTCAGATTACCTGAGGAACTATCTCACTGCAGAGGGGCATGCTATGGAACCTGTCAAGGATTTCCATCTGGTAGGGTCCAGGAGAATTTTTTCTGCCATGGTTCCACCTTCTGGACAATTATGTTTCCCATGCTAAAATCTGTATCCACCCTTTTGGCCTTCCAAAAGAGTCTGAAAACCTGGCCTGGGGCTGCAATGGGAGCATGTCATTCTGGAAGTGGTTAATGAACTAAGAGAAGACCTCACCTCCTCCCCGTATGCATCTTGCTCCTTTCCTTCCCATCTTTGCAAACTTTTAATTAATTTTAGTGTTACTATTTATTGTTTTAATGTTTCATGTGTTTGCTTTCAGGAATGCTTAAAGGCTCACTTATACCACTGAAAATAAAAAATGGTAGCTAGCTGCAGTACAGTCTTACTGAATTTTGTCCTTCCTGCTATCCAAATGAAAACAGTCAGAGGGGCAGTATAAACAATTGGGGAGGGGGGCTATAGGAAATGTTTAACTTTACTGATTTTCCTTTCAAAAAATAAATATTATATGCTAGATCACAGGTCAGCATCATTACGTTTTTAAAATTCTACATGGCATGAACTCATAATGGTACTTCGACACAGGATCTGTATTACAAAAAATATTACACTACCATTAATATTAAAATATTGCTTGTGAGTTGTGTTTGGCACTCTCCTGCTCTTTTATGTTTTTTTGATTAATCATTTTGTTTTGAATGTTATTTATATTTATACAGTTTTCTCTTATAAGCCACTCAGAATCACATAGGTAAGATGAGAGACTATACAGATTAAACTAAATAAATAAAATGGAACTATACTGAACAAAAATTAGAAAAGGTTACTGAAAAGTTGCTGTAACTACATGCCATATTCTCAAAGGTATTTTAATCCATTCACCTGAATCTAATACTGAGTACTTTTCATCACCATATCATGTGTGAATTGGTGGTCACATAAATCTATTAAATAAATCAATAAATAAATCTCACTGCATGAAGAAAGCACATCTATTTCTAAACCTGAAGAAAATTGTACAGCAATGTCCATACAAATTCATATTGGACTCCATGTCCCCACTTACAAAGATTTATGGTCATTTAATTGTACAATAGTAAGGAAACTGACATGTTTAAGGAAATTTTAATTTTAAGGACATTTTCAAAAGTAGAAACTGAGCAATTCAACAAAATGCAAAATGAGATAAATGAAGACTTCAACTGAACCCTAGTAAGACTTAGTGGCTGTGAGTTGGTTCTGTTGTATACAGGAGTTTATCATCTTTGGACCTGGATGGGATTGTGCTATCCTAGACAGAGTGTAACGTGGAAGTCATTTTAGACTCATGGTTCCTGCTTGAAAAGCAGGGGGCAACTGTGACTAGGAGGGCCTCTGCCCATTTCCATGTTGTGCACCAGTTACACCCCTTCCTGGACAGGAAGGCCTTCTATTTGGTCACTCATTCCCTGGTTATCTCCTGATTGGACTATTGCAATGTGCTCTACATGAGGCTACTCTTGAAAAGTATCTGGAAGCTTCAGCTGGTGTAGAATGCAGCCAGACAAGCCATACTGGGTGCCCAAAGAAGGGCATGTATAACACCTTACATGAGGGATACAGAGGCCCACACAATCGTGGGGCTGGCTAGCCCCAGGAGAACTCTCCCTCATAAACATTTTCCATTATTTTCTTTGTAATGATGAAATATAACAAATTTAAAGTAGTGAAACCAATTACTGAACCATTAAAAAAGTTCCTGGATAGAAAAGGGAAAGAGAATAAATGCCAGTTGTGTTTGAATTAATTTTGGATTAAGTTTAATGGTTATCTGTCAAGAATACCAGTTCCATACTAATACTTCAAACTATAAAATTCATTTAAAAAAACCCCTCCTAATTTAAATGCTGTGTTTCCCTGAAAATAAGACCCTGTCTTATATTTTTTTTGAACCCTGAAATAAGCGCTTGGCCTTATTGCCATGCACCCAAAATCCCAATTGGGCTTATTATCAGGGGATGTTTTATTTTAGGGAAAACAGGGTAATAGGAAGTGGCAGTTTTCACAAACTGGCATAGTGTTTGGATGAAGCTTTTCCTATCTCCTCTAAGAAATATCAACATAATAAATCTATTTCAGAGTAGTAAGCCCAAACTTCAACACTATTTCGTTAATCCTTTAACTTTCAGTTTCACCTCCAACTAATCAGGTCCAAAGCTTTCACATATGCTATGTGTTTATTTATATCCAGTTTTCAGTATATGATAACCTGTAGTCAAAATAAATAAAATAGCAGCAGAATATCAAATCAAAAATAAAATCAATGAAACCATATCCAAAGAATCAGCAACACTTGCACTATGTATGAAAGCCAGGTATGAAAATAAAATAATAATAATAATTAAATCTGATATCAAGGACTTCAAAACACAAGGCAACTTTGAACAAGAAATTCTACATAAATACAAAACAGGATGACAGGAAAAGTATTACCCTGTTTCCCCCAAAATAAGACATCCCCTGATAATAAACCCAATCGGGCTTTTGAGCGCATGGCAATAAGGCCAAATGCTTATTTCAGGGTTCAAAAAAATATAAGACAGGGTCTTATTTGCGGGGAAACACGGTAGGTCCAAGTCTCATTTGATAGTTCTGGAGACCAGCCTTTGAAGTTGTTCTCAGTGGGTGGGCACTGAGAACAACAGACATTAAGCCACTAACAAGCTTGCTCCACAGAATAATATTATTAATACCGGTATAATTATTAATATAATTAATATTATTCCCCTCCCCCTTTGCTAATAGTGAACAGAGTCATTCAAGAACAAGAGTATCAACCTTGTTTATATTTTACATGACTATGTTATTGTACTTCATTATACTTTGTAAACTGAAGAAACCGCAGGGATGTATAAATAAAATTGTGCGATAATATATGAAAGGCATCAGTGGAGACAACTACACTTTAACATGTATATAGAAATGGCAAAACTGGTATAGGCAGTCCTCGATTTACAACAGTTCGTTTAGTGATCATTCAAAGTTACAATGGCACTGAAAAAAGTGACTTATTACTGTTTTTCAGTTATGATTCTTACAGCATCCCCATGATCATGTGATCAAAATTCAGATGCTTGATAACTGGTTTATATTTATGACTATTGCTGTGTCCCAAGGTCATGTGATCACCTTTTGCGACTTTCTGAAAAGCATCATCAACAGGGAAGCCAGATTCACTTAACAACCAGGTTACTAACTTATTAACTACAGTGATTCATTTAACAATTGTAACAAGTAAGGTCATAACATGGGACAATATTCACTTAACAAATGTCTTATTTAACAACAAAAAATTTGGCCTCAATTGTGGTCGTAACTCAAGGTCAATACTGAACTTGGTCACAGTATTCAAGAAAAAGTGATAACGCTGCATTTAGCAATACCAGCAATACCGCTGAAAGTTTGAATAGCAAGAAATCAATCAAAACCAGATTATACAGAATATCAGAAGAAGCAGGATACAGTGAATGGAAATGTAAAGAGGAAAAAAACAGGATGTCTATCTATTAAAACACTGGCCTTCTTCAAGCCAGCACCTTTCAATAATGTTCAGCTACAGGGTAGCGTGAGCTACGAAAAGTTCCAGAAGACTTATTGTTGAGCCTGTTAAAAAGCAACTTTAAAGATCCCATTCTCTGTTACAAGAAATCCCAAGTCTGTGGTTTAATACAGACACTGCAGGCCATGTCCCGCGGAGAAGTCCCCGCGAAGAAGCCCCATAACCCGCTTTGGTGTCTGCGGTGCCTCTAAACGCCCCGGGATTCGAAGGAACTTCCAAGGCCCAGCCTAAAGCCACGAATAGCCCAGACGCGCTTCTCTCTTCACCTGCTCAACGCCGAGGAAAGCATAGAAGTTTTGCGGGACTTCCTCCACGAGGTCGAAGAGCTCCAAGTCGCCGCTCTCCCAAGCGAAAGCGAGTGGTACGAGCAAACCAAGCGCCAGCAGCTGCGGCCAACGCAATCCCGTCCAGGGGCGCGCGCGGCAGCCCAGAGCGCCCTGAGAATTCTCCCGCATCTCCGCTCCTAGGCTGACTTTAACCCACAACAGCTGCTACTGCTGCGCCGCAGCTACACAACACAACCCGGCAGACGTGGCCAGAAAGGAGACTGCCTTACTATTACGCATGCTCCGCTCGCCACGCCGGTTCCGCTCCTCCCTCCGTGAGTCCCACGAGGGAGAAGCAGGACCGGGCCCGGCCAATGGGCGATCGCAATACGGTGCGTCATGAAGCTGAACAACCACAAGACTAGGGAAGAGGCCTGCAAAGAGGCTGTAGTTTGGCTGCTCGGGCTGGGAGAAAAGGAAAGGGTTAGAGCTAGGACAAAAGGAAGGGGCTGGGACGCTGTTTGGAAGTGAGGCCTCCTCCGGGGTGGTAAACTAAACCGACTCTGTAGTGAAGGGTCAGTCTACTGCAAGTCGCATAACTTGCTGGTTCCCTCTTACACCTGCACTTACTCGATCCTGGAAAAGCTCTGGATAACCTTTTCATGCATCCGATGAAGTTCAAGAAAGCTTATGATTTTTAATAATCTGTTAGTCTGAAATATACTACCAAACAGATGAGGACCTCAGAGAAGTAATGTGGCAGACACCTGGAATGCTGCTGGAGAAAGATTTATCTCAAGCCTGACCCAACTTTGGTAAGAGTTCAAGCTTCAGCTACACAGTGACAATTTAAGAGGCAAAAATAAATATTTTGCTGTCCCGATTGCATCACTGAGTGCTATCCAGCAACCTTTTATAAGGTGATTTGGTGAAGATCTTCACCAAAATCATATGAAAGTCTCTGTTAAAAATGTTTTGCCACATTATGTTGGCAAAGTCACTCAGAATCCAGATGAACTAATCTCCAACTTTGGATATCAATAAGCTGATATCATGTTGAGCCTATTGGACAAGCCTTCTGCGATTGTATCCCTGGATCCTTGACTCCATGATTGATTAAAGCCATCTGTGAGATGAGAGAAGATTGGATTTGAGCAATCCTGAAGTTAAAAATTTTGGTAAACTTTAAGAACTTATACACTATTTGTTATCTAAAATTCTGGAAGTCCTCAGTTAACAACCACTCATTCAGTGACCATTTGAAATTATGACTACTGAACAAGAGATGGTTATGACAAGTCTTGGAAGTTCTGGCCATCCTAGCACTCGTTGGTCAAATGGTCATATAATAGCAATCTGGCCACTTGGCAACCAGCAACTAGCTGCAATATCTTGCAGTCATATGATCTCTATTTGTGACTTTTCCTATTGGCTTGCCACAAGCAAAGTTAAGCTGGCAGGAAAGGTTTCAAATTGGTTGGGTAAGTCTGTGTACCCTCCGGGAGCTTTGTTGTGCTTACACCATGTCACTACAGCCACTCATGGTATTCTCCACAGCCATCTGTGCACCTTCATTCACCCTCCCCACAAGAGCAGCCATCCCAAGACCCATTGCATTTATGACTTCCCCTGCGCACATCCTCTCCCACCCAACAACAACCACTTCAAACTCCACCATAGTTATATAGCATCTTCCTGGCCACTGTACACCCCCTCACTCCCTCTCCCACCCAGCAATAGCCATCGGCCTGTTGGCCTGCTTGCAAGGTAACTGAGACTTGCAACTTCATTTTGGTTTCACTACTAATTTTGGTTTTAGAAACGCAGGAGCTTTCAGAGGTGCTCATTTAACACTGGCAATGGGAACTATAGGAATTTTGGTCATGTGACATTTCAGATTACAACCACATCATTTAGCAATAGAAATTACAATTTTAACTACAGTGTAATTATGTTCAATATTAGGAATCAAACCTAATAAATGTCTACCTTTTGTGACCATAGAAATTACAGGGTTTTACAGTTTTCCCAATCTGCTTCCAACAAGCTAAATCAATGAGAAATCCAGCAAGGCAGGTTACAGGTAACTCCAGTAAGTCACTCATACCCTCTCCCACTCAGCAACAACTACCTTTAACTTGCTGCATCTGTGGACAGCTGGCATCCATTCATATATTTTCCTTTATTCAGTGGGAGGCAACCCTGCTCTCACACCGCAATTCACCAGTCACCCAGCACTCTCCTCACTGGACAGCAACCATATACCTGCCCACCAGCCTGTATATGAACTACCTTCCCACTGACTTTGTTTTTTGGAAGTCAATAGGAAGCCTAATGAAGGCTTTCAGCGACTCATGATCCTTGCTTAACAATGACAAACAGGAATGCCAGGATTTCCATTGTTAAGCAATGCAACTGTAGGAGATGACCAGGCTGAGCCCAAGGGAGAGGTCAAATGTGTCATCAGTCATGAGTCCCTGCACACCCACAAGAGATCTAAGTCCACCCTAATTTGAATCTTTCTTAACACCTGCTAATTTCCTTGACTGTTAGTAGCTCAGATTCTTGTAGACAGCTTAAGCTTGCAATAAATCTTTATACTCATTTAAACTGCCTGAATCTCCTGATTTCCCTGGCACTTGACATTACTAACCTTCATCAAAAATTTTTAGAAGCTCCAGAATACCCTGGCCATGATCTCAGATCCCAGCACTGCAGCAATAGCAATCAAGCAGACCTCCAGTCTATCAGCAGATGCCAAGACAGCATTGAAAACAAAAGCAGGAATCTTGCAGCCAATTTTCAACAAATGTTGCAGCAAATACAGATCTGGACTCAGCAGGGCATTCCTCTGAAACCACAAGCACCTGCTCCGCCCATCCAGGCACAACTGCCTGTTCCTGCCGCACTCATCCCCAAGTCTCCCAGCTGCCTTCCACAAAGATTCACTGGTGAGCCTGATAATATGAGAACATTCCTAGTGCGATGTGTTCATCAGCACCCAACCTGGGAAATATCCAACAAACAGATCAAGAGTTTCCTTCATCCTCACTCTCTTAATTGACTTTGTTGCCAAATGGGCACTTCCACTGAACCAACAATCCCATCCTGGGCAGCTAACCAAACTTTCTCACTAGATTTAGAGAGTATGTTGGAGACTCCATTCGGATAGAAATTGTCAAACAACACATTTTCCAACTCTACTAGGGCAACAACTCAATGATAGTATACATTGAAGATTTCAAGCTTATTGCAGCAGATCTGGATTGGAATGAGCCAGTCTTAAGAGCACAATTCAAGAAGGAGCTCAACAAGGCCATAATCATACAGCTGATACAGCATGGTATTCCCCAGGGTCTACAAGACCTCTACTAGCCACTATAGCAACTGAGTCTTGATTTGCAGAACTTAAAAGCATTTTTTGGCAGCCCCAGTTAACTGCTTCCGAAGCTGACTTCCCATGTCACTACCCCTAGCTTCCCTGTTTTTTGGATTTGGACACTAAAGAGCTGATGCAAATTGGAACAGCCAGAAAAGCCCTAGGTCTAGGAGCAAAGACGCAGAGAAGTTGCCCTGTGTTTCTACTGCTGAGAGCTTGGCCACATGATCAAGAATTGCCCTACTAAACCTCCCAGGAAAGCAACTGATAGACTAGCAATGTCTCCACTACTCACCACCTAGACAAGTCCCAAGGTCAGAGAAATGCCTTTCTTCCATGAGCTTATGGGGGGAGGGGCGCACCCAAGCACCGAACGCACTTCAGTTACCTCCAAACTCAGGTATATACCGTAAATAAAATTTGATTCTATCCTGACACTTCCCAGTGGTCAGGAAACCACCATCCCTGTTTTGATAGATTCTGGTTTAACCTCTGACTTCATAAGTCTAGCCACATCCAGAAACTTAAGATCCCTACAGTTTCCATGAAGTCTCCATTGCTAGTGATAACTATTGATGGCCAAATTTTAAAAACAGGCCCCATTATTCATGCCTCAATGCCTTTGAAGTTAACAGTAAATCAGCAGTGTGAAGCTGAACACATTGATCTTTCACTAGTGCTGGGAACTGCTTGGTTACAACTTCACGACCACACTATTAGGTGGAAAGATTGGTCTATTGCCTTTGAAAATCTTGAATGCCTTTCTCATTGCAATTGGCCCTCCACAGTTTCTCACCAGCCCTCCCTAAAGATTCACAGAGAGATTCCCAATCTGCCAAGTAAACATGCAGACTTCGCTGATGTTTTCAGGGAGGAGGAAGCCTGGGCCCTCCACCCACATATAGACTGCAATTGCACCATAAATCTGGTCCCTGGTGCTAAAATTCACACCAAAAAACAATACCAAATGTTTACTAAGATAGTCTTCGACTTGCAACAGTTCATTTAATGACCATTCAAAGTTACAAAGGCATTGAAAAAAGTGAGTTTTTCACACGACCATTGCAGCATCCCCATGATCACGTGATCAAAATTCAGATGCTTAGAAGCTGGTTCATATTTATGACAGTTGTGTGTCTTAAGGTCATGTGATCACCTTTTGTGACCTAACAAAGTCAATGGAGAAACCAGATTCATTTAACAATCATGTTATTTAATAACTGCAATGATTCACTTAACAACTATGGCAAGAAAGATCATAAAATGGGGCAAAACTCACTTAACAGATATTTCACTTCATAACATAAATTTTGGGCGCTATTGTGGTCATAACTTGTACAGAATTAGTAACTTTAAAACAATATTTGGACTCTAATTTGCAAAAGATGCTACCAGCTTCCTGGCTTGGCTCTCACCTTCTTCATAACCAAGAAGTAAGACCCCAGTGGGCCTAATAAGTACATTTAAAGCCTTGTAATCGCAGTAAGAAACCATTATCCACTGCTGTTAATTCCAGACCTATTAGATATGCTGCAGAAAGCCAGCATTTTTCTGAGACTGGACCTCTGCAATGTTTACAACCTCATTCGAATCAAAGGCCATGAATACTTAACCTCCTTTGACACCAGATATGGCAAATTTGAATACACAGTGCTGCCTTTTAGACTCTGTAATGCCCCAGACATATTTTCCAGATTCATGAATCAAATCTTTGCAGAATTAGAAGATAAATTTGTTGTCCTGTAATCTACTATGAGAATGAGAATGAGTGGCACACAGACCACTTGCGCAGTCCTCAGTAGACTAAGAGATAACCGCCTCTTTGCCAAGCCAGAAAAATGTGCCTTTGATTTGCAATTAGACTTCTTGGGCTCCCGTAGTTTCACAAGCATCCAGTTGGA